TTAATCTTTAGATATAAGCAATCCTAGACAACTACAGGAAAAGGCTGCTGAGCAAAATCAGGAATGGTAACAAGTCTTTGTCGATCTTTCGTATTCGATACTGTGGACATGGAAGTAATGTATTTAATTATCGGAACATCGCAAAACTGGATCATTTTCAGTTTCTTACTCGGAGCGTAAACAACAGTAATGTCTGAATTGATTTTTATTCGTCATTATTTCTTATTAATATAAACATTAATAGAAAAAAATAGTTCTACAGATTGATGCTGAGAATGCTCTTGACGGAGCGTGTAATCAACGAAGAAGCCTTAAGGAAAATGCAACCGAAATATAATCTTTGGAATGATGGCTTGGAGAACACTCATAGAACGTATCGAAAACAAAGGGTTTAGTGGGAAGCAGAAAATCCCATAGATTACCAGCTTGTGTGAATGAATGGCGGAACCAGGGGTGGGAAGGATGGCAAAATTCAAAGGATAGAAGATTGAGGAGAGTCATGATTGCCCACATCCTGAAGAATCACGGTACAAGTTTCACTGTGGGACTCACATGTGCCAGCAAAATGATACCACGAGGCGTGTGTTTTCATTAGACGACATTTTATCAATTCCAATATTTCTACAGTTACTCTCAGTCAGTATGTGGTATACGAGCGATCTCCGACGCTTCTCTTCCGATGGGTGGTCCTTACATTCCTTGATTGCGATGTGTGAGAGAATACCCAATGCTGTTGTTTATATATCAATCTTTCCAATATTCTCGCTTTCACTATGGTAATACTGGAGGCGGATGTATGGAGACGTACTTCTGTGTTAGGACTGATCTGATGTCAACACTTTGGTATAGTCGGCTTACTTGATATATGGTGTGGACTTCACGCCAGACATATTCTGTCCCTGATGTGCGAACTGTTTTGGGCTCCTCTTATCTAATAATTACGTTCTCAGTCTGCAGTCTATGAAAACCTGTATAGCTCAGTTGCTTATTTAATGTTTCTTTTAACATTCTTGTTCTCACGTTTTCAATACGAGATGTAGATTTGAAGTCTCATACTTTTGTATTCCTTGGTGTCAAATGACTCGAGATGAATATTCTAGTGCAAACGAATTCCTTGATGTTTGGTGCAAATTTGAACCCAAGCCCGTCCCGAAACAATACCGAAAATAAGCTTAATATACGCGGAGGTGTCTCTGAGGTAATGTTTAGCGAGATAATGTGATTGAATATTATTACTAAGTAGAGCCTAGCAGTGTAACATAGATTTGTATAAATTATTATTCGTTCCTTATGGCAAAACAAAGCTTAATAAATAGCAGTGTGCCATAGCTTTGTGATATGGTTAATAAGTTTGTCGATTTTACTTTTTCTCCTGAGTGTTATAAAAACAGAATATCTGACTAGTTATAAGCGATGAAAATGAAATAATTCAATCTGGGCATTTTTACCTTATCATTCAATGAATTTAGCATACTGATGTGTTTGTTGCAAAGTTCTGGTAAATAAATAATGTGGAATACGTCATCTCCAAGTTAGGAAATATTACGCAATATTAAAGAAGTATCACACAATATTACAGAAGTATTACATCGGGGAATGTTTAAACCTTTGTCTTCGTCTACGTCGATAAAAAACAGAATATCTGCCAAGTCATAAGCGATAAAAAAGGAATTAAGACAATATGGACATTTTTACCTTGTCATTTTGACTGGTAAAAAGGTCTCTTGATCAGTCCAATGCTTTTTGATGATTAATTATTAGTGACAGATCTTTTATGTCTGTTTGGAATGCCAGACTACAGAATGTAGAAAATTTATTCTTGTTCTTAACGTATCGTATCATTTCTCATCTTTGACGCCTGGGATTAGTCATTTTCATGGCGGATCAACGTGCCATTGAAGTTTCTCAAAGCTAGTTTCTTTTTCTCCAAGGCAAGGTTTAAGCATTCTGGTTCCTGAAAATAGATGCCTACTGTAAAAAGTAACTAGTATCAAGTTGAGCTTACCAGCTTAATCCAACCAGTACTGTTTAGTACGTAAACTTTATGAATGTATTGTACTACCAGATTGGTGACAAAGTCTTATCATCTTACAATTGAAATGCTTTAATACAACCGTAAGTCCTATACTGACAATTTCTTCTATCATAGTCCTCGCTTGTGGAACTCTACTTCGGCCTCTTGATTTCTAGTCAACGTTATCCTTCAAAAGATTAAATGCAATGTTATCTTCTTTTATTCTTCTCTCTCTCTGTTTCTTTATCTCTTCTTAAAATTCTAAGAAGTATATACAATGTTATTGCATCTATAACAGAATATCTGACTAATTATAAGCGATGAAAAATCATACTAAAACGAATACAATTGCATCTAGACGAATGAAATTCCTCATTATTTTATACTAAATAGAAACTACAAGCTAAGGCAACTGACCCTTTGTGGACATTTACCAAAATTATATTATCTGCCCAAAAACTCCCAGCAAAAACTGTGACTTCCATTGTCAAGCTCAACAGCATCCATCCACCGGTATGAATACGGGCGTTCGTTTGGACATAATTATGTATACAAATATCAGATATATTAAGTGAATATGTGTTTGAATCGTGTTTAGACACCTGAATTTAGTTTATCACAAACCGTTCAGGGATAATTGTATTCTCTAAAAGTCACATTCGAGTTTAGCTACACGAATCTTACTCTAGAGCAGGCGTTTAATGCATGTCCATATTTTATAGATTTAGCGTAGTCCGACACAAAACCACAGAAATTGATCACACAACCCGGATAATATTACTGCCAATTGCTTACGAGGAGATATTTTGAAACATTTCTCTTCGATAGCTGTCTATATCTCGTTCTGTCTCACACACTATTATCCATATTTATGGATTAAAGTGCTCAATATCAGGGATAGTGCGTATGTAAATATAAATATATGGATATAAAGATGGACATTAAGGTCAACATCCAGAGGCAACAGGTTGTTTCATGCACAAACTCAATCTTCATGTCGCTGGTGGATGTTGACTTCAGTGTCCAGCTTCATATATATATATATATATATATATATATATATATATATATATATATATATATATATATATATATACAAACACACACACACACACACACACACACACACACATATATATATATATATATATATATATATATATGCACACACACAAAAAACACACACACATATATATATATATATATTACACACAGAAACACACACACATATATATATATATATATATGTATATTGCACACACAAAAACACACACACACACATATATATATATATATATATATATATATATATATATACACACACAGAAACATACATATATATATATATATATATATATATATATATATATATATATATATATATATATAGTATGTATATGTATATGTGTCTGCATACATCGATGTTTGCGTTAGTACGATGAATGACAAAACGACGAAATTTCCCCACCACTTCCACAATAACACCAATACACGCAATCTACATAAACCCAAATTTTTAAAACATTAATCAGTTTGTCTGACGATCGCTAAAGCGTGAAACCCAGGGTCACAAACTCACATCTATCCAATATATATATATATATATATATATATATATATATATATATATATATATATATATATATATATATCTCAAGACGTTCAGAACAAGGCACTAAATCTGAGGTTCCATGAACCTTCCTACTAATAGTCTGCGAATGTGTTTTAGAAATTATTACTATGGTAAAACTCTATATTGTACATTTATATATCATTCAGGTGACATATATTGTGTAGTTAGTCAGGAGTGAATTCACTAGCATTGTTTTACGAAGTTTTTTTAGAAGAATTCCTTTATGAGAGACACCCTATGCATAGAGTTTAGTCCACCACAAGGCCAAAATTAACAAGCGGTTTACTCCTGCATATATTAAATTAGGTACCTTTTACAGTTAGGCCACAACAGTTTAAATGTTTGGATTTAATCTGAAATTGCATGTAAGTCTAGATTGTTTAACTTTTCTTTATGAGAGGAAACATCTTCACGACTGTGTTTATAAGATATATATCCTAAAAAGATTCATCCATTTAATATTAAAGAAAATTTAGTCCAGTTAGGGAAATGGTGCCTTAGTCTTTTTAAAGACGTCTCTTGAATTTTCATATATTATGCCAGCGTCCATTTGGGCTATCCAAACAATCTGTAAATTCTTCTTTAGGGATCGTAATCAGCTGCCACATTCAGTCCTAGGCGTTAAGTTTCTTCTCTTTCAAAGGCAATTTTAGATTTAGAAAAAACAGCTAAAAGTTACGGATATCTCTAGCTGGACTGTAGAATTACTGGTACTAGACGTTTCGATGTTTTACCAAAACCAAAAATCCTCCCCTACTAATGAGGAATTAAACAATCGATCTATTGAAATTACCTGTTTAATTTGCGAACAGCCTATGTTTCTTTTTAAAATTCTCGAAATCTCCATTGGCATTTATATTTGATCGCACATCAGGTATTCTACTTATTGAAGTCTTTACAGAACGTGAATCGCTTTTAAAAGATTCTCGGTCAAGAATTGTTGCATTATATAAGAGGTTTTCAAGTGGATTTTTTCCCTGAACAGTACACTCTTAAATTCTTCATTTCAAATGTTAATAGCTATTTATCTATGTTATCTTGTTAATCTTTATTTGCAAACATTTCGTCTTCAATTCATATTACACAACGTATTCATCAGAAGCATGTTAAAAGTAAACCGCCATCTTGAGTGACTCTAAAACCTCGAGTTTGGTGAATTTAAAATAAAAAAAGTGAAAGTGTCGATACCAAAATTTTATTTCGGATTTGCTCAATCAATCACGTCATGAATTCTTTTTGCATTTTTGAATAATTTTAGCGATAGATTTCGTAGAGTGATGCGCAAAAACATGGTAACTATGTGCTAAAACATGAAAACTATGCGTAAAAAATGATAACTCTGTGCAGAAAAACATGATATCTATGCGCAAAAGCATGAAAACTCCGTGCAAATGCATGATATCTATGCGCAAAAGCATGAAAACTCCGTGCAAATGCATGATATCTATGCGAAAAAGCATGAAAACTCTCTGCAAATGCATGATACCTATGCGCAAAAGCATGAAAACTCTCTGCAAATGCATGATATCTATGCGCAAAAGCATGAAAACTCCGTGCAAATGCATGATATCTATGCGCAAAAGCATGAAAACTCTCTGCAAATGCATGATATCTATGCGCAAAAGCATGAAAACTCTCTGCAAATGCATATCTATGCACAAAAACATGAAAACTCTCTGCAAATGCATGATATCTATGCGCAAAAGCATGAAAACTCCGTGCAAATGCATGATACCTATGCGCAAAAGCATGAAAACTCTCTGCAAATGCATGATATCTATGCGCAAAAGCTTGAAAACTCTCTGAAAATGCATGATATCTATGCGCAAAAAAAAGCATGAAAACATGATATCTCTGCAAAAATGCATGATATCTATGCGCAAAAGCATGAAAACTCTCTGCAAATGCATGATATCTATGCGCAAAAGCATGAAAACTCTCTGCAAATGCATGATATCTATGCGCAAAAGCATGAAAACTCTCTGCAAATGCATGATATCTATGCGCTTGAAAACTCTCTGCAAATGAAAACTGCGCAAAAGCATGAAAACTCCGTGCAAATGCATGATATCTATGCGCAAAAGCATGAAAACTCAATGCAAATGCATATCTCTGCGCAGAAAAACATGCCAACTATGCGCAAAAGCATGAAAACTCTGCGCAAATGGATGATAGCTATGCGCAAAAACATGACAACTATGCGCAAAGGCATGATATTTATGCACGAAATCATAACCATGCTCAAAAACATGATAACTATTCACAGTTATGTGATAGTATCCCAATACACAAATTCACTCATTGACGTCTTACGTCCGTCCACGCATTCGGCATAAGGTCTCCTCTGATTAGCCGCGAAGTTATATCAAGCCTGCGCAACCGGTTCTGAAAATATTTAAAATAATTTTGGATAGACTATGTCTATGTGTGTATATATGTGTGTGTTTGAGACAATTGTGTTGATATCTGGTTATGTGCAGTGCATCGTGTGTACGAATGGAAATTTGTCCACTTAAAAGTTGGGAAAAATAGCAAAGAAAACATCGAGAGATTTTATCATGACCGATAATCTTTATATTAGTAGAAATGTTGTCATCGCTAACATCACCGGCGTATCTATCCACCTGATTAGATTGCTACGTGCTCCAACACAACTCTTCCCCCCCTTTTTTCCTAACAACGAAATCAAAATCCTCAATAATGAATAATAGTAATCCAATCATGTTTTCTGTATGATAAAAAATCTCTCTTGGCTCCGATAATTCAAAATAAATCTCATAAGGGATAAAGTCTGTCTTCTGTCTAAAGTCCAATATATATTCCTTGAATATCAGTGCCTTCTGTTGGGTGATAGAATAAAATCTCGAAGACTATTATGCGACGATTTGGTTTAATTCTCTCTGAGTGTCCTGCTGTTGTAATTTATCCCCCCATCTATAGCTTCTTCTTCTTCTTCTTCTTCTTCTTCTTCTGCTTCTTGACGTCTCCTTTCAGGACGTGGATGATCATTGACTTTAAATGTTAGCTGGAAATGGATACATCCTCGCTTCTTAATATTGTTATGACTAATCTAATTCAATTGCTTGTGCATGTCAGTAAAACCTACATCCCCTCGGATATAAATCGTGACGCATTTTTTTTTTGTTTCAACTGTTAAGAGAAAAACTTCCAGACTTAGTATCGCCAAGCGTTCTGGCTTCCATTCTTGATTCACCCACCGATGACTCAACCTCCTTCATCTTCCATGGGCTGTGTTTCTTTAGAATGTGAACGATCATGGTCCTCCACAATTTCCTGTCTTTTGAAGCTTTTAGTAAATTTTGTCTTGTCTCTATTTCTCTTCATCGATGTTCTGCCAACCTTTTACCCAAGCTCGTTAGGTGAGTTATTCGCTGCTAACCTCTGTCTCTCTTATCTTCATATCTCCTACTGAGTGTTAAATTTTCTATGCCCTCTTTCCTCATGATGTTACCTAGAAATTTAACCTAACGCTTTCTGATTCTCATCATATTTTTTAAATAATTTCACTCCAAGCAAGGCAATAAAGCCACTAACACGCAAGGGATTACTGAGTGTGGGATGATGAGGAAAGAAAAAATTATTAAGGAGTGAGAATAATAAAAGAACAGGAACTAAGAAGACAGATGGTAATGACTGATACTGAATTTTTAAGATGAAAGTAAACTGGAAAGCTAAAAGCCGAAAGAGAGTTTTACAAGGGCGAAGTGCCAAAAAAAATGTTAGGACATGACATACGGTTATATCTGGGCAAGTGTAAAATAATAAGGCCTCGTCACCAATCTAGCATGGTGCTTAAATTCATAAAGAGAAACGCTCATCAAAATAATTTCCATGGAAATATTTATAGAAATGTCATTTTTGTTTCTATTTTCGATAAAACTTCCTGGTTGATTACATGTTCATTCCATGATATTCTCCCTATATTTTTGTAGCCTCACGTCGCTTCGTCATCTGTGATGCGTTTGCTCAATATTCATTCTTTGTAAACACAACTTTGTGCAAATTAATAGAACCAAAACGAATAATTCCGTTATTATTTACGTTTTTTCCGTATTTTTCCATTCCTCAAGAATCTGTTTCGTTCTCTCTATAGGTGACTAAAAAAGTGGGGGTCGACTGGCTCGATACACGGAAACCAAGCTCGCTACTTTTACCCACCTTTCGCTGAATTCCGTCGCGCTCAAACGCTTTCTATCGGAATCCAATCAAAACCCGATAAAAATAACGTTCATCTCACAAGATTTCCTCCATCAGGGTCCTCCATCACCATCATCCTTGTCACAGCTAGCAGCATGACAAACACGGCCCGTTGCCAACCCCCCTCCACCACCACCATCACCACAGGGGCGACACATTATCGCACACGTATGCGAGATCGATGGACAAAAGATCTTTGGGATCGATACGAGCCGTCAACTCACCGACATGGCCACAGAACGGACAAAGTAGACGAGGGGACAGTGGAAGAAGGCTCTAAACTACTGTCCCATCTGTAACAATCGGGCATATCTGCCCAGTCCGCTCTGAAAACTGCGTCATAACACGTTACGAATCAAGTAAAATTCGTAGGGCAGACCACAAAACCCCGAAGAATTCATACTGCCAATCCTCTTCAATGCCATCTCACCTACGCAGCCAGCCGCTTCAGTGGACGAAAGCCGAGGAAAGTTAGATAAACAGCTCGAAACTCTTCGTCACAGAGACTAGGAACTTTGGTAAGCTGGTTCTGGAAATGCAACCGAAACGCCTCGCACATCAATCCGGGGTGTCAAACTCGTAAATGTATCGATTGGAAACTCGGTTTATTACCTCCAAGTGCAATTCTATGCCCATTTTCCTGACTATCTTGTTTAACCTGTATCTAACTACTTGACCCTGTTAGTGCTCGCTAGCCGAATTCTCCAGGGCCTTTGTAACTAAGCCTATCTAGGCGATCATCCCAGCCTCCGTCTGAACCAGGCTATCTCGAAGTGCCTTCTCCTACTTAGTCTAATCTAGGGGGAGTCGTTGGCTAAATACGGCGGTGAAAACCTAATCCTATACTTAAGCATCACCCAATAAACGCTCCACTAAATTTCGCTGCGCTAAAGTAGTTAGCTGTTGCCGAAAGTCCATCCTTATTTAGTAACTATGTTGAACTTCCAGGTTCCAGTCATTCTGGGCTTAGAGTCTAATGCTATCCGGTCACAAACGGGCTTGTGGTCGGAATAACCTATATGGATCGAGGGACACTTAAGAGCCCATGTTCACTTCTCTCACCCCGGGTAATCGAGACGTTATCGATCAACGAGATTAAACTTGTCGATCAGATTGCCCAGGCTACGATCACGCAATCTCTCGCTAGATGCCAATTCTCTACTTGGGGTCCAGGCTGACATTCCAGTCCCTCATTATCACTAGGCGCACCGGATTCACCAGGAAATCTCCCAACGGACGGAAGAATGAACACCGCTCCGTCTGGACGTTGGGCGCATAAAATGCAACCAGACGAAAACGATCTATTTTTTTTACAGTAATATCGGCCATGATAAACCGGCTCCCCGATGACATGGACAAGGAACCAGCAAGGAAACACGATTCGTCACTTTGTACACTGAATAAACAATAAAGTTGCTAGACATCACACTAGCGTCGGCATCAGAAACAAAGAATGTCTCCTAGATCGCAGCCACATTCACACGGAAGGACAAGAGGTCACGAAGCCGGCAGTCAGCTTTATACTAATCCTTCAAGCCTTTCGTATTTGAGCATGCCAGCTTGATATTCATTTTCAGAACAACTTAGGCACATAGTGGGGGAAATCTGTGGAGGACAAAACCCAGATGGACCGTTCTATGCTCCAGGGACCATGTCGGGCGTAATCCCACCCCTAGGACAATTCTACCGACGTCTGTGGGGAATTTTAATTTTACTGTCCTATATAGAGAAGGGTGTAGCAATACCCGGGTGCTTCCAGAGCAGTTTTGGACAATATCCGGAGTTCAGGAGACTCTACTTAGCTGCGAAAGGGATTTTTGTGACAGAGATGAAGTCCAAGACTCCCGCCAGAGTTCAAATTACTGTCATTACTCTAGGATCTTTACTTTGTTCCAGGGGCCCTCCTCTGCTATAAGAGAGTTCAATTGCCACAATTGCTGCTCCTCTTTAGGCAGGTTCCACCTGCTGTTGTTGTTGCTGCAGTTGCTATTGCTAATACTGGTGTTGCTGTTGCTGGTTCTTAGGGACATCTGGTTATGAAGAATGTGTCTAGTTATAACGGTCCGGCCGTCTCGATCCTGGGTCTCCCCCACGTTGGTCAGTACTGGCGCCGGTCAACCGATGGCTGTCTGTTTATCGTTTCCTCGCTGCTGCTGATTCATCTCGGTCTTCTCCAACTTTGGCTCCTACTGCCGGCTTCAACCGATCATCCGGTTTATATGCATCTCGCCTAACTCTTACTACCCCTCCGTGTTCATTATGTATTCACCAATTAATTATTTTCCCCACTGTTTAAATCATAACTCGCCACCAAAACAATGCGGCCTGGTATTCGAAAACAATACATTTTGTATTTAGATTCCTCTTTGCCAAAAATTATTGTTTACGTTAACAAATTTTGGGCAAAAAACACTCTCTGTCCTTAGAATTTCTTTCTTTTCCCAGACAGTAATTTCTCATTAATAAAATTTATTTCAAATCAGCAATTTACCGATGTACCAAATCCTGACCACAAGAATTCTTTTGTTCCCTTTTCTAAACAAACCAAAGTATTTACATTCCATCTTCTATTTACTTTTCGATACGAT